GGCACCCTGGCGAGCCAATGACAGGCAACAACGCTGGTGTTGAGTTTTGTAATTTTAGCCAATGAATAATGGATAGGTACATGTTAGTGTGAAAAATGAATGTGCTGGAACCGGCCATATTTTCATTGAACAAGATTGGAAGAATTACTGTAGTGTCAGGCTAAAAGAGGTGATAGCATTATTAATACTACTTTAGCGGGTCATAAACCTGCTCGCTTTTCCTGGCAGTGCCATAATTCATGAGTTTGGGGACTGTGTACTGGTTGATTGCGCACCTTTGTATGATGACAACAGGGCGATACAGTACCAGCATCAGATCCGCCATCAACCATACTGATCACCCATTTCTTCCAGATTTCATTATTCTAAACCAATCACAAATACAGATAATAAGGTTACGGACGCCAGGATGTGTAATATTGGCCAGAGATTTATCTGGTGTTTGAACGTACCTACCTTATGAAGAATCATTATTTTTACTGCAGTTCTTCGTCCGGTGTTTACGATGATGAATTTTTTAACTCTAGAAGGGTGAAATAAATTTTAGAGAACTCCTGGAGTTTATTAGACAGTATTTCATTGGCTAGATGTACTTTAAGATTTACCAGAAAATATTTTTATTCATTTTGATAGGAACATAATAAGAGACTTTGATCTTCCCAGAGTGCCTCTGGTGTTTGTTAGATGGTACTTGTCACAGAATGTTCTCGTGTGCCGGATCTTTGACATATTTATGAAATCAAGGTCACAAAGTATACAGTCTTAACTTCCTGTAGATTGTCATTCTTCATTTATTACATGTACTTTCTGTGATTCATGTTGATTCTGTTTGATTAAGGACTTGTGTGTCACTGCTGAAGATGTATAATCCAGATTTACATTGTTATATTCGTAGGTTTAGCTTTTTATAGGTATTTAACAACTAAAATTAAATTTCCAAGAGAATAAAAAGTCTTCAGATGGTAATTACAATGCTGTCATAATTAGGATTTATATTGTTATTATTTGTAATTGTTCAAGCACTAAACAAATGGCTCAAATGTTGTACAATGTATTAAAAAAAACAAATATAACAAACAAAAATGTTGTGGGCACTTTGTTCATATTTATGATTGATACATGAAATTTCAGTAGCAAAGAAATTATTTTAGAAACTCACATTAAATTTTTAATAGCTGATTGATTCATGAATATGTAAATTCACAATAATTAGGAATTATTAATCATCAAAATCATTGAAAATAAAATCTCCACAAAGATTAATGACTACACACTGTATTGTATATAGTTATACATGTAATGGGAATTTGGAGGGAGGAATGGGTTACCTGATTAGATCTGTACAGGTATGTAATTACCTGACCATGTATATATCAGGAATTCTAGTCTTCTATAACATTATAAAGGCCTTATTTCTTCATTATCAGAGTGATGAATGAGAGTTTCAAAACATTTAAAAATATCCCACAGTTTCAGCCAATTTTTGAAAGTGTTTACAACACAATATGAAACGTTGGTCATTATACCTATTGTTAAAGACATTTGTGTTCAGGCAAGGTGGACTAAGATTTTATTTGTTTTATTTGAAATACAGAATAAAATGTGTAGATGCTGAAATTGAAACAAATTATTTGAAACAGGAAAACACTTTTGAAATAATGGTGGTCTGATTTTGGATTTCATATATCTGGTTTTTTTTGTGGTGGTCGTTAAAGACATACAAAAGTAATTACATTTGAACCCAAGATGCCAAAGAGCTGTGATTAAGTTAAATATGAAACAAGATAAACCATTTTCAGCACTTGTAAGGGCTATGGATATTTCACTGTCTTATTTTCTGTAGAATACATGAAATCTGAACAGGTGGATCATTTGTCAGTGTATATTAGTGACTTGAAAATGAAGTAAAACAAAAAAATTACCCCTACACTTGTCTTTTTTATACAGACAAAAAGTCAAAGTACTCAATGAGAATTTCATCCTGAAACTTCCAAAAGGAAAGATTTAAATCAAATGATCTGTTGAAAGTTATAAAGTCCTGCATGTGTCAGATGCTAGAGTGATCAGGGTGCCCCGATTTCACTTTTGTAAAGTGTAATTGTAGATAGGATTATGGCCTGATAAATGCCATACAGGAGGTTAGAAACAAGGGGGGATAATTCAATTGACTGATATGCTAGTACATGTACACTGTCAGGTTGTGGCTCCCGAAGGGGTCAGCGGCAAACGTTACTCACCAGTATACAGATAAAAAACCAATTACTGTCAACCAGCTTGTGGTTTTTTGGCAACAGATTTGATCAAACAGGTATTACATATGCCACTGATGTCAGCTTTAATTGTAGTCTTGTAAATGTGAACATGCTACCTTATAGCATCCATGAAACCAAATCTCTTTGAAATAACCACCGCAGTATGTGATTTTCTTTTTTTTTTTTTTTTTTGTTTATTTGTTTAACATCACAAGCAGAATTTCTTATTTGCTTTCTAAATAACCACAGTTAAAATAGCTTCCAGATTTGTTTGTTGTGCCAGTTAGTAGTTGATGATATAACAGTGAAAAACATGATATCCATTCATTTTTTTTTTTTTTTCAAATGTCTGAAAAAGGTTATGAGAGGCACACTTAATAAAATTGGTTTATCTTCCATTTGAGAGGAAATCTGATTGTTGCAAAGTCTTTCAAGAACATTGAAAAACTTTAAACCCGGGACACCAATTAAAAAGGCCTGTAATACTAGGATGGCCATAACAGACTGGGCAACTGTTTATGTGTCCATTTCAGTTCTTACATGGGTCCCTAGCTTGTTCAATATATCCTTCTTCACCCGGCTCCCAGTGATGGTGAGTGATTTTAATGACCAACTCAATGAAGCCTCTTGCCAAGTGAGATTGGAAAAAAGTCATCCGAATTGTTGAGTACGTTGTAATGGGTTGTCGGAAAGATGTTTATGCCCATCACAGCTCATTACAGCGATAGTTTTACAGGGCTTTGATGTGAGGTAATTGTATTCCTCATACTGTTTTCATGAAATTTTCTTGGAAATGTATTGTGCAACGAACAGAGCCTTTACAAAATTTATGAGACTGTCAGTATCCGTGATTCTCGCACAGGTGGGGACTTTTTGGGTTGCCTCCATTTCAACAATAAACTTTCCAACAGTTTTTTTTCGAATTTCTTGTGCATTAATTGTTTTGTAGCTAATCTATTTTCATTCTTAAACCAATAAAACTCTACAATGAAATATTTATCCATGTTTTATCACCTTGACAATTAATCCTCCTTGGCCACAGCTAGAAGCTATTGGTAGACTATATAGCTCACTAAGGCTTACAAGCAGGTTTTATTGCTTCTCAGCTTTGGCTAGAGTGAACCATTACAGAGCCCAATGGGTCCTCGTTTACCAACCTAAATGATATTGAATGATGTCAAAAGATGGAAATTATCCTCTAATTACAGCCGTTTATCAACAGTTTCCATGCCTTTTACCATTTCCCCTGTCTTTAAATTCTGTTCTTATTACCAAAAGTACACAATTAAATTATGATTATCGCTTGTATACAACCACATACATAGTTAGACTTTGGTAGAACTTTGATATGGAATTCTTTGGAACTATAGCAACAGTTAAAATAGAAAATCACATTTGAATGACATGGAATTATGTCTACAATGTCTTACTTAAGGCTGTATAGTACCTCCTTACTCTTAATTACTCACTCGTTTTTATCTCCTTTTCAAAAAAGCTTTGATATTTACAATAAGAAATCTTGGTTACTGTGACTAAATAAGTAACTCATTTATTATAACCTCTAATGTCTACACCAAGAAATGTTATCAAATTTTAATAAGTTAGTTTACCTTTATCATGTTTTAATTAGTTTACCTTTATCATGTTTTAATGAGTTTACCTTTATCATGTTTTAATAAGTTTACCTTTATCATGTTTTAATGAGTTTACCTTTATCATGTTTTAATAAGTTTACCTTTATCATGTTTTAATAAGTTTACCTTTATCATGTTTTAATGAGTTTACCTTTATCATGTTTTAATAAGTTTACCTTTATCATGTTTTAATGAGTTTACCTTTATCATGTTTTAATGAGTTCATCTTTATCATGTTTTAATGAGTTCACCTTTATCATGTTTTAATGAGTTCACCTTTATCATGTTTTAATGAGTTCACCTTTATCATGTTTTAATGAGTTCACCTTTATCATGTTTTAATGAGTTCATCTTTATCATGTTTTAATGAGTTCACCTTTATCATGTTTTAATTAGTTCACCATGTTTTAATTAGTTCACCTTTATCATGTTTTAATGAGTTTGCCACTTGCATCTCCATTCAGTATGGACTCTGATATCAACATCAAGGGTATATCCTTCAGGGTAGATAAAACATTTAAAGTTAAAATAAGTTAATATAATGCTTATTTTTCCTCTGTCTTAAAATGTGATTATGTAAGGATGCCAATGTCCTTCCTGTTCATATGTCAATCTATCTTGACTATCTTTTTGAACAACTGGAAATAAGTAATTATGAATATGTATTGAAAATATTTTTAAGGGGAGTAACTCTAACCTGTGAATGTACACAAATTCAAACATCCTGAAATGTATTTGAAATGCCAACTGCATTGCAGCAGAATTGTATGAATTAGAAGTTTCAGATGTTATAATTTTGTTTAATTCTCTTCTCAACTTTAAGAATGCAGTCTAAATAGCATTCAATTGTTATATTTACACTCAAACCTGTCACGGAAGGGTCCAGAGAAAAAGGCCATTATGCACAAGTGGCCTTTATATAGAGGAACAATCACTTTGAATTGCATTACTAAGGTAACCAAAAAGTGACCTTCAAGACAAATGTTACTGTATATTTTGGCTAGAAATTTGTTAAAGAGAGAGAGAGAGCTAAATTTTTTTTAAAAAAAGAATGTCTTCGATTTAAGTTTTGCAACTTGATATTTATATCATTTTCTTGTTTTTGTCTTTTCAGGTTCAATTTCATCTATAACTAAGAAGGCAGTTTGATGGGTCAGGACTATCCATTGAAGATCAGTGACTGGTTTCTGCAGAAATTGACTGTATGTAAATACTGGACAACATTGGATTACAAAATTCATGTCATTGAAAATCATGTAGTTATGTACACATGTTTGTACACAGGAAAAATCATCGGATTCACCAGGAATTCTTATTTTGCCATTGGCAGCAGTGCATATATTGAAAATCATTTCATACGTAATCATTCATTTTGAATAAAAGTTGTTGTGTCGTACGATTATTTTGTATTCTTTGTTTTCACTCAGCATGAGATGAGAGATTTTGCAATAGCGAGTGGGTTCTGTCAGTAGCTTTTTTGTATAGTAACACATGTTACTGTTGAAATCTGTATACCATGAAAACCATTTCTGATAGCAAAATCCTTTTGTATAGTATGGATATAATATGACAAATCTGTATATTACTTATTAAGTCTAACCTTACCTATGCAGTTTTAGTAGAAATTCTGAAAAATGCTATTTCACCTGGATATAGTTAACTTATTTTGTACTGTAAGTTGGAAGTAAATTTATGAATTTCCATTGAAGGATGCATACATTTTGAAACAATTAAGCAACAAGCTTCCATTTGTTTGAAAATTTGTTTGTCTTACAAATAGATTTGTTGAGATGGGGTTCAAAATGCAGTTTGAAAAAACTCATTATAAAGCACACACTCATCACATACTGTGTTTGTGATAAAGCTTACTGAAGATTCCACAGAGTAACTTTACAAAGATGTTTTACTGTACTGCCACCGTTTCAGGTACAAAATCTTTTCCTTTTTTTTCATTTTTGTACTTGTCCTTGTTTTTATTTTGAAAATGATCTTTGATAATTTCAATAGTGACTCTCTTTAAACATGAAATGTTTGGCTTCATTATGAAATTTTACAAAAATAAATTTACGGATTCTGATTCAAGATATATAAGGACTTATATACTGTAAAATCATATATTTTTGTTGAACTCAATTTTTCAGTAGCTTTTCAAAACAATACTTTTTATGGACACTTAGTTTTATGGTTACATTGAGCACAGTATATCTCCTTATACTTATCTTCAGTAATTCTTGGACATATAAATCTGTGGATTAAGTGTACCTAAGTAATCAATGAAAATAAACCCTCCACAAAAAACAAAGATTTAGCAGTATTAAATAAAAAGAAACAGCATGAAGTTTGACACTTTGAGTTGTATGAATTCAATTTTTATGTGGAAATTTTTTTTAAGTGAAGCATCTGTTTCTGAGATGTTCTTGTAGTAGGTTTAGGTTATCCAATAATTTATTAACAGTTTGAACAGATTTCCAATTTAATACCTTTTTTCTATATTTTGACTATATCTTTAACCATTTTAAAGATTTAATCTTGTTTTGCTTGAAAAGAAGTGAAATAAGTTGCCATGTATATTTCATTAAAAACGACAAGTAGAATTGATGGTGCTGGATTTAAGCATTTTAAATATTAAACTCCTTGCTTGAAACTTACAGTTTAGTTTGTACTTGCACTACATATTTATTTATCCTGTAGCCGTTTGCCATTTGGAAGCAGTTCACTGCTGTTATTGAAATTTTGCCTTGGAATGAGAATAAAACGTGGAAATGAATTAGCAATATTCAAATCAATTTGAAAGCTTTGTTTGCTTTTAATTGAACAAAATAGCCATCAGACAGCAAACAATTTTTCAATGTTACTACAATAACATGTACAATGAAGTCGTCACTTGATCAGTGGCATTCACAGACATATGTTTGCAGTTGCTGCTTTTTTGTTACAGATATAAAAAAAGTCATAATAGAGCAGTGGCATTCATAGACATATGTTTGCAGTTGCTGTTTTTTTTTTTTTTTTGTTTTTTTTTTTTTTTTGTTACTGATATAAAAAAAAGTCATAATAGAGCAATGGCATTCATAGACATATGTTTGCAGTTGCTGCATGGTTAGTTTCTACATTAACATCATAATGATATGCTTATTTCGTATTGATTTTTAATGTTTAGACCAAAATCAGATTAATACAGTTTCTGTGTGAACTTCAGTAGAGCAAAATGTTTTCGTTTTTTGAGTGTGTAACATAATGACGTAGGCAACTAGAACAATACATTTTTTTCAATAGTTGTTTTCATAAGCATATGGAAGAGTACATTTACACTTTCTACAACATTGTACTTAGCATGTTTACAGATTTGTTTCAATATAAAAAGGTTATATTTTAGAATTTTTTAGAATGTGCGTTTTTATGAGAGATGTAATCTGATTTTCAGATTTTTTATGTAAAAACGTTGTCACAAAGCTATCATAGATAATCTGTAATTGTTTAGTTCTTGGTGAATTGATTCAAAGCAAATTGCTGATTTGGAACATTTTAACACAGCAGTGGTTAATGGCCACCATTGCAATGATTTACCTCCTTTTAAATCCGGCATGAGTTCTAAATCTCAAGAACCATTTTTTATTGAGTCTTACACATGAAATCAATTTCATATTACTTTTCTCCAAACTGCAAAAAAAGTCATTGTTTTAGTTATAGGTGACCATGAAAAACTTAACACACACGACCTCTGGTCACATAATTTTTCTTTAATGAGTATTGTATGACAGACATAAAAAAGTACAACTCAACACTGCAAGCTTTGTGTGTAGGTTATTACAGAGATAATCCCAGTGGCAACGTTAGAGACCTGTAGCAAGATGGCGTCCATACTTGGAGGCATGCAAAATTGTTTCATGGTGCGCTGTAACGTGTGCAAAATTGTCTGTTTCTTGGAAGAAGGTGTGCAAGTTTGTTTCCATTGTACTTTTATGAGAACGTGTGCAAGATTGTTTCCATTGTACGTGAGAATGCATTCGAGATGGTCTTCTTTACCGGAAACTATGGTTACAAGAGGGTTGTCTCCCTTATTCAAGATGTGCAGAGTTCTCTTTATAGAAAGCAAGATGGTGGACGAGAAATCAACAACGTACAAGTTTGTTTTCACATCCCAGATAATTTCGTTTTTGACACGTGATAAAAAATTCCTTGATGCATGTATCTACCACTGACTTGGCTATATCTAAGTCCATGTACCTTTTTATGAGCAGCTTTCGTAAATATGCGAAATATATGATACAGATATATCAGACAGCTTTTCATCTAAAGCAAACAGTTTTTTTAACAATACCGATTTTGAGTTGTCTTTGCAACACTGTATGTAGTTGCGGTGAACATATCTTTACTTTATTTTTATGTAATTATATGTAATAAACACTATTTCAACTTTTGTCTTGTATCATTCTCAATGCTGCGGGTAAGACGTTTTCAAAATGTAATATTTTAGGCTCTGGATATCATTTAGATTATCTCGGTTGCACTTTCATGAAGGGCCTGGTATTGTCTTCTTTCTAACCGAAATGTAAATTAAGTGGCTGAACCGTACAAAAAATTTAATGGCATTGATATTTTGGTTTTAAAAATGCTTACAGATCTGTTATTGTGCGGAATGATATGAGCGGCACAAGTTTTCAGGAAAAACCTTAAAGCTTAAAAAAAACGATGAAAATACAGACAACTGTTACATTTGGGTATGTTTAGTTTGTAAAATCGTTTGCGATGCGAAAAAAACATGACAAAAATTGGAATAATATCTAGGTAACTATCAATATTTTTCTTATTAGATTCAAGTACTTTTTAAATTAAAAAAAGAGATGAGTCAGAGGGACTAAATTTGTATCAAAATGTGATGTTCCCTTGCATTTGGTTTTGTATAATCGTTTGAATTGAAAGTGTTTGACAACGCTCAAACGTCAGATTAAAATGTGTCTTCTATGAAAAAAATAGTATCCGATCGTAACAGTCTGCCAAAGATCCATTTAAGATTAAACAGATATTAAGGAACGTTTACTTGAGTCTAAGAATAGGCAGGAGCACCCACGAGAAAGGTAGTGGAAACATGTAAGCAGACACGTTCTACTAGACGTTTAAAAGAAGTCACGATTCGGAAAAGATACACACGAAAGTAATTACTTGGCATTTTCAAACGTATAAATGTTTAGATGAATTGCGTAATCCTTCAACTGTTTCCAGACGTGGATTTGGTCCCAGTACACTGTTTGTAGTACAGTGTGTTCAAATCGGAGAAAGAGATTGTGTAAAACAATAGTGCGGACTGTGTCATGTCTCCATTTCCATAAATTACTTTGTCACAAACGCAAGTAGTTACTTCGGGACTTCTTCATAAATTTTCTTCACGTGATTCACATTTAAATTCTTTGGGATAATGGCACGGTTCAAATTATACAGATGTACTTGACGTTCTTTAAAAAAATATAGAATCATTACATTAATTGAATTTTAGGCTGGTGCATCTCCCAGGCATGTTTTTGACCAGTTTGTTTTTCTGGAACTCCAATATTTCAAAAATATATTTCTTCAGCTTCACCGAGAAATAAAGGGGGATAGGTGACTTTTATTTTTCTTAATGTTGATTGCGTTCTCAACACTAGCTTCATTGAATGTTAACAAACAAAATTAACGGCAGAATTTGCTTTAGTGTTCCCATCGAAACGATTCTTCAGCTGGTCGGTACATTTCTAGTCATGCCTGTGGAGGTTGTATACCAAGACACGACAGAATTATAATAGAACAGTCCGTGACATTAAAATTTGAGATAATTTTGCTGCTTATACCGAGTCATGTAACCTTTTCCAGTAATAAATATGTTGACGTGAATACTGGTAGTATTGTCATAATATGCCATGTGCCCAAGTGATCAGCGGGTGTTTCCTACCTTCAGAGGTCAGTCTTCACCAGAAACATATTTGTCGTCTTCGACAACAACTAAGCAGTGATAACTTGTCGCTGATCGTCGATTCTATAGCATCTTGGAGTGTTGATGCCGGGGCATATTTGAATACTTTGAATGTCGACACTACATTGCTGTATATTCGGTTGTCAACACTGCAAATATTTTTCTGTTTGAGCCGACGTTATGACTGAGATTTTTCGCACTGTGATATCTTTGCCAGAACTGTGATGTTCTTGGCGTTTACAATTTCTCACCGGTTAAATCTAGTCTGAAAGTGAGGTAGTGTCTAAAGTATGTGTGAAAGTGAGGTAGTGTCTAAAGTATGTGTGAAAGTGAGGTAGTGTCTAAAGTATGTGTGGAAGTGAGGTAGTGTCTAAAGTATGTGTGAAAGTGAGGTAGTGTCTAAAGTATGTGTGAAAGTGAGATAGTGTCTAAAGTATGTGTAAAAGTGAGGTAGTGTCTAAACGTAGTCTAAATTGAGGTAGAGTCTAAATTTAGTCTGAAAGTGGGGTAGTGTCTAGCCTTAGTCTGAAAGTAAGGTAGTGTCTAAATTTAGTCTGAAAGTGAGGTAGTGTCTAAATTTAGTCTGAAAGTGAGGTAGTGTCTTAATTTAGTCTGAAAGTGAGGTAATGTCTAGCCTTAGTCTGAATGTGAGGTAGTGTCTAAATTTAGTCTGAAAGTGAGGTAGTGTCTAGCCTTAGTCTGAAAGTGAGGTGGTGTCTAGCCTTAGTCTGAAAGTGAGTTGGTGTCTAGCCTTAGTCTGAAAGTGAGGTGGTGTCTAGCCTTAGTCTGAAAGTGAGGTAGTGTCTAGCCTTAGTCTGAAAGTGAGGTGGTGTCTAGCCTTAGTCTGAAAGTGAGGTAGTATCTAGCCTTAGTCTGAAAGTGAGGTGGTGTCTAGCCTTAGTCTGAAAGTGAGGTGTTGTCTAGCCTTAGTCTGAAAGTGAGGTGTTGTCTAGCCTTAGTCTGAAAGTGAGGTGGTGTCTAGCCTTAGTCTGAAAGTGAGGTGGTGTCTAGCCTTAGTCTGAAAGTGAGGTGGTGTCTAGCCTTAGTCTGAAAGTGAGGTGTTGTCTAGCCTTAGTCTGAAAGTGAGTTGGTGTCTTAAAAGAGAAACATAAGGGAACAGCAGTTGCTTAGTCTTATCCAGATTTTAGACGCATTCTAAAAATTAGATAATGGGGTTAGATGGTATAATTCTTATGTCCTTCCTGTAGTGTTTGGAAATTCATTGTTATTGAATCATAACGTAAATTTATTTCCTAGATATAGTTACCTTCTACATTTACACACTTTAAGCTCCTAGCATCACTGACGAGTCCTACAAGATCGAAACATCTGTATATGTTGGGGGAAACATATTACTGACTGGCAAGTTGATGAAGCATAGGACGCTTATCTATCTGAAACACGTTGTCTTATTGTACTTTCCTGGTAGTCCCGGTGTAATGTTGGTCTCCGTCTTTCTTGTGTTCATACTTTGCCCTTGGTTATATTGAATAAGTGTTTTAATCATAATTTGGCTCACATGTCTGTATTTTCAGAAAGATTGTTGACGTCACAAAATAAATTTGATATCCGAGCTAATTTCACAGATTATATGTCTTAAAACTTTCTAAAACACAGAAAGAATTAGATTATACTCTTACTTCTGCAATATCATCCATCAATCTTCCTGAATAAAAACAGTCAAATCACGGAAGCAAATCCTGGCAAAAATATAACTTAAGGCAAAAAGTAAGGAACACAGACATAAGACATGTCACCTAAATTGTAATTCTATCACAAAATAAATACAGTTTACATCAACGGTATTGAAGCAAATAAAAGACTTAAACTGCTAAATTCAGAGGTAAATAGCTAACCTGCCTTCATTTCTTGTTTCAGTACATCAACAACCATCTAGCATTTCTTTATGCACTCAGGACAAGATTAAATTCGATAAACCTTTATTGCATGTCAAATTTTAACATATTCGAACAGAGGGGACGGGCGGTTTAGCATATACATATCATTTCGTTTTGTTCTTTTAAATATACGAAATTTATAAAATCTATTAAAGTTAATTCATTATTTGACTGTAATTCTAAATTTATATTGCAATGTGTCACTCTTGTGCCGTGGGACCCTTGAAGAGCATTTGATTCTACAATATCAGGGTGTTGAGAATTTTAAAAAAAATCTGAGTCAATTTGAGCAATTTTAGCCCCGCCCCTCGGGCCTCTGGGGTGTAAAGGACATTTAATTCACAATTTTGGTTCACCTTTATGGAAGATTTCTGCAAAATTTCATTCAATTCGGTTGTTTTTTTCTTAAGTCGAAAATTTAAAAAGTTTACGGACATATTCTGAATGATGTTTGAGCCACAACGCCGGACAAAAAGCGATGCAATAGGCCACAATGAAACTTCATGTACGGTGGCTTAATCAACGAAAAAACATCGGTATGTCAACAAGATCTTATTCCAAACTCGAATTCGAGGAAATTTGAGCAAAATATGAACTAAGAGAAGACTTACTCAGAGGTCTTATTTAATCCAAAGAATTTCACGTCCTCAAATGACAAAGAGGAGAACAACAACGAAACCAACAAACAGGCATCGAGCACGTGATATCGCACAGAGAAATAGAATACTTGACTATGGAATTACTATAACGACTGCATAACATTCCCACAATCCTGCATGTGTCAAAACTCTGTGTCGTGGGTTTTTTCCACTCAACGACATATTACACGAATATCGTGTTTCTAAAAAAAAACAATACCTAGAATAATCTGCAACATGCAAACACTTCCAAATATAGTTATAAGAGTATCTTAAATATTTGTTTACGTTACGTTACATTATATCTTGAATTTAATATAAATATTTTCAGGATCATTAGGCACCATTAGGGTAGCTCCGAATTAGCTTTGCTAGCTAATTTTGAATGTTGATTTTTTTTGCTACATATTAATGCCTCATAGTCACGTAAGATAATTAAATACATAATAACATTTCAAAAAGCTGGGTATGAATCGGTATTGATGTTAATGTCAGATATCATTTTATATCTTAAGGATGCAAATAATAAAAATTACTAGCAATTGAAGAACAGTTCAAGACCATATTGGAACTTCAGTATATTTATTTTATCAATAAACTCTGATGGAACATTGGCGAATCTCTGTACCGCTTTTTTTTTATCGGTTTCGATGATTTGTAATACCTAGGGGTCATATAGATGACAACTGAAAGCTGATGAAATAAGTTAACTGCATTCCTGTTGTAATCCAATGAGGTATGAAAATACCAGTCTGTCCGGTTATGATGTAAACAACCCCAATTTTAAGAAAACACAACTATTCTAGCGATGCAGAGATTTTATGTTTGGTCTATTTGCCTCCTACGTTATCTTAAGTATTAGTCCCAGTTGAATCAATATGTCATCGCCTGATATTACGGATCACGTTATATTTTTTTAT